ACTGCCTTATTTTCCAGGAGTTATGAACTGCCAATGATAAGATAACTCTGATGGTAGTGGCTTTGACTACAAGACTGAAAGTTTCCTTATAGTCTAAACCTGCATATTGTGAGAAACCTTGTGCCACTAATCTGGCCTTATGTCTAGAGACAGATCCATCAGAGTTCCTTTTTAACTTGTACACCCATTTGCAACCCACAAGATTCTTTCCTTCAGGAAGTTTAACCAAGATCCAAGTCTTGTTGGATAGCAAAGCTTTATACTCTTCCTCCATTGCTTGCTTCCAGGGTTCATGCTTGATGGCTTGATAAAAATGCTCAGGCTCCATTTCATCTTGAGAGGTAGCCATGTACACTTTTGGTTTAGAAATTCCAGCCTTTCTTCTGGTTACCATAGGATGGATGTTTATGGCCTGAGTATTTGCTTGATCTGCATGAACTTGATTATGCTCATTAATGATATCCTGCATGAAAGAGTTAGTAACAGAAACAGGAGAAACATTTTGCATAAGAGGTAACTCAACCACCAAGGGAACAGTGCTATGAGTAGAACCAGTTCTGGGAGTATTTTGAGAAGGAGTTTGCTGTGTAGGATATAAGGGGCTTTTGGGCTCTTGAGTAGGAGATGTATGAGTTGTGGAGGTGGAGTTTGGTTGAACTAAAGGTGGGGAAGCATAAAAAGATAATCTGGTTGGATTAGTCACCCCATAATCTGCTTCATTTTTGTTCCTTTGAGCAAAAGGGAAAATGTTCTCATTAAACTGAATGTCCCTACTTATGACCACCTTACCTTTAGGTAAAAGAACTTTATACCCTTTGTGAGCACTGCTGTACCCAAGAAAAACTCCAGGCAAGGATCTAAAATCCAGTTTATGTTTATTATAGGGTCTTAAACATGGGTAGCATAGACACCCAAAAACCTTAAACCCTTTGTAGTTTGGCTTATGGTTAAACAGCTTCTCAAGAGGAGTGATATAGTTGAGGATCTTTGTTGGCACACGGTTTATGGTATAGACAGCACTGGTGAAAGCATCATCCCAGAAACTAAGGGGCATTGATGAGTGAGCTAGCATGGACAATCCAACCTCAACTATATGCCTGTGTTTCCTCTCAGCTAAACCATTTTGCTGAGGGGTATAAGGGCATGATAACCTATGGTGAATTCCATGGTCTTCAAAAAATTTTGACAAACTTCTATACTCACCCCCCCAGTCACTTTGAACTGTTTTGATCTTAAGCTGCAATTGGTTTTCAACCAAGTTTTTGAAATGAACAAAAGCCTGGTAGGTGTCAGATTTTTGTTTCAACAAGTAAATCCAAGTAAACCTTGTATGATGGTCAATTAAGCTCAAGTAATATGAGAAGCCATTCCTAGACTTTATAGGGGCTGGTCCCCATAAATCACTGTGCACAAGTTCTAAAGGCTTTGTAGTAAAAGAAGTAGAAGGCACATAAGGCAATCTGTGGCTCTTACTTAACATACAAGCATTGCATAAACCATCATTTTCATTAGAAACAAAAGGAACATTACAATGTTCAAGGGCTCTTTTAACCACATCATAATTAGCATGCCCTAATCTTTGATGCCACAACTCTAACTCACAAGCCTTATTCACACTGAAACTAACTGCAACAGGTTCTTTAGCATAGACTGAATCATCAGGAGGAATGGTGGTTGATGGCTTGAAACTTCTGAGGTTGAATTGATAAAGACCATCTTTAACTCTCCCTTTGAGAAGAACTTCCTGAGAGGTTTGATCCTTGACAAAACAAGAATCAGAATGAAACTCAAAAATCACTTTGTTGTCCAAGGCAAATTGAGATACACTTAAGAGGTTTTTGGTGATATTTGGAACATGGAGAAGATTGTTTAGAACAAACACTCTAGACTGTAATGGTGATTTCAAAAGAGAGTTACCATTATGCAAAATGTCTATACCTGCTCCATTACCTAGCTGAAGTTTGTGTGGTCCTGAGTAGTCATTTGAGATGTTGAAGTTTCCAAAATCATTGGTGATGTGATTGCTTGCTCCTGAGTCTGGAAACCACAAGGAATTTTCTTGACCAACTTCAGAAGATGCATATCCTCCAATTTGAGCTACATTCAAGTTTGGTGGTCTGTTTGCTTGAGCACTTTGGTTATTCTGTGGTGCATAGTTTGAGTCAAACCTGTACCAGCATTTGTTTGCACCATGACCAGGTTTTTGACAAATTTGACAGCTGATTGACTGACCACCTCGGCCACCTCTGCCTCTGAAGTTTCCCTTTGATCCTCTTCCTCTAAAATTGTTATAACCTCCTCTATTCCTGTTGTCTCCTTGACTGAAGTTGTTGGGGAAGTTCTTTCTCTGATTTTGAGCCTCATGAGACACCACATTCAAGGAAGGTTGAGATCCATCAAGGCCAACATTGCTGGGACTGTAAGACTCAAGTCTGGATTCATAGCTCAATAAGAGAGCTTGGAGGTCAATCATGGAAAAACTCTCAGGCCTTGAAGTGACAGTAACAACAACTGAGTCATATTCAGATCCTAAGCCTCCAAGGATGTGCATAACCTTGTTACTTTCTGAGATTTGTTCATTTGCTGAGGCCAACATGTCAAACATTGATTTTATCTTCCTCAAATACTCAGTCATGGAAAGGTTTCCCTTTTTGAGATTTTGCAGCTGCATTTTATATTGCATGATCTTTGCCTTGGATTGACTGGCAAAGTTTCTTTCCAAGGCATCCCAGATGTCCCTTGAGCTGTTCAGGCCAACCATGAGAATAAGAATCCCTTCTGAGAGAGAACACAACATCCATGAGGCAAGAAGAGAGTCTTGCCTTTCCCACAAAGTGAAATCTGGATTTATGGTTGTCTCTCCTTCCAAGAACTTTGGTGGAGGTGTACTCTGTGGGCTGATGAAAGATTCTAGGCCGTAGCCTTTGATGGTGGTGAGGATTTGCTGCCTCCATACAAGATAATTGTTGTGATCAAGTTTGGTTGAGATGAGCTGACTTTGAGGAAAAACTAGGTTAGGAGATGAAGTATTTTGAGGGATTCCTGAAGTGGAGGAATGAGAGTCGGCCATGGTAAAGAAGATTTAGAAGGGAATAAAATAGTATAATGGGGAAGAGGAAAAGAGATATCAGAGGCATGGCCTTAACCATGCTCTGATACCATGTCAAAAAACACATAAAAATCGAAGAACATTTTGCCAAACATAAGCTTCATTTTATGATTCTGGAGAATATATTTTCAGGTGTTCATTTCTTGATGAATTACAGAGGAAGTAATGCAGCTATATATATCTATCTGAAATGCCCTAGCTATCCTCCAAAGCATCTGGATTTTTCCTCTCTCTATAAGCCACAAATGATCCTAGCCGTCCACGTGCCTGCATGGGAGTGGCATAGCAACAGAGATCAGTTTTGCTTTTGCAGCTGGCATTTGTACTGCCTGTTACCAAATCCTCATGAGCTCCTGCATGTATTTTGTCTTCATGCAAAGGGAAAATGTCTCCACTATGCTTAGTAGGCAATGCACAATTTGGTGATAATTTATC